TAAAGTGAGAATAGCAGCACAACTGGAAGAACGTAATCGATGTCACTGAATTGTACATGTAGAAATTTTTGAAATGGTGTATCTTTGGCTATGTATAATTTCACCAAAAAAAACACAAAAGGTCCTCCAAGGTCGAGAAAGGAGAGTGTTGACATGTCGTGGGGTTGTTAACCAATGTCATAAAACAGTACGTGTACTGACTGTTTAATGAGGAACTATTTGTTCTGTAAACATTCACCTAAAGTACAATAAAAAAAAAAAAACTGTGTCAAAAGCTTATTATTGTTGTCTAAATAAAAGACTGACATAGGCTGACTTAAAGCTTGTACTTGTGTAAAACAAGGTAGTCTCTAAAAGCTGCAGATTTACTTATTAGGCAGGTCCATCTAAGAAACAAGTAACAGATGGCAGTAGATGTTTTACTCTTGTGAGACTTGGGGGTCGGGGGGGAACAGTAGGGGGATTAGCAGATTAGCAGAACCAATAATAGGTCTGAGAAGAAGAGTGGCAATGACAGAATTAGGAGCAAACTAACAGAAGAGATTTAATGTACAGCTGGGCTAAGGCTTCAGAGGTAAATCCCTGTAGTGTGAGATTAAGATTGTTTCCCAAATTTCCTTGCTCATAAAATACAGTACTTGGCTGAATCAGAACAGAATCTATATTTTTAACAAGTATACCAAGTGACCATCACAATGAAGCACATTTAGGAAACACTGGATTAAGAGTGAATTAAAAAGAAGTATTCCAATCACAGAACAGTAAATCAAGAATAAGGAAGAGTACACCAGAGTCAGATTTAGACTAATTACTTCTATCAGGGGTTGGCAAACTTTTTCTGTAAAGGGCCAGACAGCAAATATTTTAAGCTTTGAGGGCCAATGGGTAAAATTGAAGATATTATGTAAGGACTTATATAGCAAGACAGAAAACAAATTTTGCACTTTTTTTATTGACAAATTCAAAATAACAGTATAAATTTTTGTAATACAAGTCTATTAATAAGAATGGAATTCTTTTTAAAGAACATTTCACTTAATTAATTGGGGTTCAAAGTTAGCATTCTCTATCCTGAAAACTGACTGCAATTGTTCATCTGTGAATATCGATCTATGATGAAACTTCACGTATTTCACCTTTGAAAATGTCTTTTTGCACAGATAGATACTACTAATACTAACATACATCCACACATGTATGAATTTAATTGAGCACATTTATCATTTGGAAGGCATTTATAGAATTATATTAGATTCTCTTCTTGATATTTGCCTTTTAGCATGTTATTATACTGCTAATTAATCAGTTCCACCCAAAGGTTAGGTGGAAGCTCCTCTACTGCAGTTATATGGATTATGAAATATGGAAATTTCCTTTGCAACTGCATCAAGGTCCAAAAAAATGCTGCTGGAACTGGAACTGTAGTTTCAGCTCAGAAAATATATCTCTGCCTAGTAAAAATCCACTTTTTCTTTTCTTGTTTTTCTTGTTTAGACATAATGGGTATATGCACTGATAATAAAATAAAATGTCATAGTATGGCAATACACATGGTACTTGAAATATTGCTGAGTTATAACCGTGTTGGTGCAATCTGTAATAAGCGGAGCAGCAAGGAGAAGAGATGAGTACCACATAATGATCTCTGTCACAACTACTCAACACTGTCTTTGTAGCACAAAAGCAGCCATAAAAATATATATAAACAAATGAGTGTGGCTATGTTGCAATAAAACTGTATCTATGAACAAAGAAATTTGAATTTCATGTAATTTGCACACATCACAAAATATTATTCCTTTTGATTTTCTTTCAACTATTGAAAAATGTTAAACTCATTCTTAGCTCATTGGCTGTATAAAAACAGGCAGCAGGCCAAATTTGGCCCACGTCAGCCAACACCTCACCTATACTGTAAACTTTTCTTGGAAAAAAATGTAACTTTTTACTTCTTAAAAACTATGACAATAAAAAGACAAACAACCCATTACAAGATGGGCAAAGGATCTTAATATACATTCCTTCAAAGAAGATATACAAATGGCCAACCAGCACATGAAAAGACACTCAAGGTTACTAGTCATCAGGGAAATGAAAACTAAAACTACAATGAGATACCACTTCACACCCATTAGGATGGCTACAACCAAAAAGATAATAACAAGTGTTGGTGAGGATGTGTAGAAACTGGAACCCTCGTCCATTGCTGGTGAGAATGTAAATCGTGCGGCCACTGGGGAAAACAGTTTGGCAGCTCCTCAACAAGTTAAACTTAGAGTTACTATAAAACCAAAAATGAAACCTGTTCCCGTCAAGTCGATTCCGACTTATAGCGACCCTGCAGGACATAGCAGAGCTGCACCATAGGGCTTCCAAGGAGTGAATGGTGGATTTGAACTGCTGACCTTTTGGTTAACAGCCGAGTTCTTAACCACCACACCAGTAATTCCACTCCTAGCTATATACCCAAGAGCAATGAAAACATATGTTGACACAAAAACTCGTACACAAATGTTCATAGCAGCGTTATTCATAATAGCTAAAAAGAGAAAACAACTCAAATGTGCATCAAAAGATAAATGGAGGCTGAGAAGGGAGAGGGCTGACATGTTGTGGGGTTGTTAACAATGTCATAAAACAATACGTGTACTACTGTTTCATGAGAAACTATTTGTTCTGTAAGCCTTCACCTGAAGGACAATAAAAAAATTTTAAAAAAAAAGATAAATGGATAAACAAAATGTGACATATAACAGAATACTATTTGGCCATAAAAAGGAATGAAGTACTGATACATGCTACAACAGATGACTCTTATAAACATTATGCTAAATGAAAGAAGTCAGACACAAAAGGCTACACATAATTCCATTTATATGAAATGTTCAGAATAGGCAAATCCACAGAGACAGGATTAGCGTTTGCCAGTGGCTGGGGGAAGGGAGGAATGGAGAGTGACTGCTAATGGGTACACAGCAGTTCTGGATTTAGATATTCTGGAGTTAGACAGTGGTGATGGTTGTACAACTTTGTAAATATACTAAAAGCCACTGAGCTATACACTTTTAAAGGGTGAATTTTATGGTATGTAAATTATATATCAATAAAAAATTAATTAATTTCACAATCCTATGGCAAAAAGATGTTAAATTTTAGATATTTCTATAAGGAATTACTGTGTTTCCTAGTTTTGAAACAAGGAGTATTCAAGTTGTATTAGCATGTGGTGCCTATGTCAAAAAAACTACAGAATCTTTTCATTTGTGTGTTTTTAAGCGTGTGGATTTTATAGTAGCAAAGCAAGTAGACAATTAGCAAACTGGATTTGTTGTTATGACTGCAAATTCTTCTGTTTTAATGGCATTTACTGACAGTACTTGATCTGGAATATGATTCTGAGTATTTAATGTAAATATACCATGTCTTTGAAAAAAAGTATCTTTAAAATGTAGCAATTTAAAAATCATTAAATTTAAATTTCAGCAGTTTCATTTTCACAAAAGCGATTAAGAGTTACTAAGAATTACGACCATTCTAGAGTTACTACCTACACATTCCAGCCCCTACAAACCAGCTTGGGGGTTACCTCCTTCTCCTCTGGGCAGTATAGGGGCCCTGTAGGATGGAGAACAGCTTTCTGTGCATAATAAAAGAGCTCTGATATGTTCTTCAAGTTTTTTGCTGAACACTGAAAAAAAAGTTTAAAATTTTACAATGTGAAATCTATTATGAGAATAAAAAAAAAAATTAAAACTATCAACATATAAGGTAACAGTAAGATTCCTTAAAGAAACTGAAAAATGTGTTTTTCTTTGTGGATATCACAACATGAATGCCAAAAAAGAGCTCAGAGGCTAACTCCAGGTTCTCTGTTTTATTTGGTTTACATGACTTCACAAAGAACAAAAAATTTATTGTATCCCACATCTTCTCCCTTCCCAACACAAACCTCAACTTAGTGAGATTTCACCAACAGTAAATTTCTGAATCAAATGATAAGGCATACCTCCACACAGGTTTCTATTTCTGTGTACTGGTTCATAATGGGAAGGATGGTTTCCATACTACTATATTCCACCAGATCAGATTTATTTCCAACCAATATCAAAGGCAGCCTGAAACAAATGGGGCACATTGCAATAAGGAAAGGAAAAGATTTTAGATTTATATTTTAGTTATTTTAGCACAACTCATTCTAACTTAAAAAGCTTTTATTTGATCTCCCCAAAGTGAACCCTCTATGATTAGGCAAAGCCCCCTAAACAGCATGCTCACTCAATAAATATTTATTGAGTGCCTATTATATGCCAGGTACTAAGTGTTAAGGACACAAGGCAGACAAGGTCCCTGCCCGTTCTAATCGTGAAAAACAGAAAATGAACAATAGACAAATACGACAATTTCTAATTCAATAAGTGCTATGAAGGAAATAAATAGGGGGATATGGGCTAGAGGACCAGGACGGGGCTAATTTAGATACGATAATTGGGGAAATCTGAGAGGTAGCATTTGAGCCAAGAGATGAAGGATGAGATGGAATCTGCCATGTGAAGAGACAGGGAAGAGGCTACTGGGCAGAAAGGACAGCATGCACAAAGGCCAAGTTGAAAAAATACCCTAGTGAGATCAAAGAATTGGAAAATGCCAGAGTGACTGAAGAGAACTGAGCAAAGAAGAAACCCTCCCAAAAAACCAAACCCGTTGCCATCAAGTCGATTCCAACTCCAAGCGACCGTACAGGACAGAATAGAACTGCCTCATAGGGTTTCCAAGGCTATAATCTTTACAGAAGCAGACTGCCTCATCTTACCCGAGAAGTTCGAACTGCTGACCTTTTGGTTAGCAGCCGAGCACTTAATCACTGTACCACCAGGACTCCTTTGGTAAAGGAGAAGAGGTACAAAATGGGGTTGAAGAGAGGAGCAAAACCCAGATGTGAGGCCTTATGGGTCATGGTAAGGAGTATGAGTTTTATCATAAGTGTAAAATGGGAAGCAACTGAAGGATTATAAGCAGGGAAATGACATGATCTGCTTGACATTTTAAAATGTGGTGATTTATTATCTCTCAGAGATACACACTGAAATATCTACAGCATGATATACTCACTAGGCTTCAAAACTACCCCGATGGAAGGGGTAATAAATGAAATAAGGCTGACCATGAGTTGACAATAGTTAAAGCTAGATGACAGATACACTGGAACTCATCATACTATTCTCTCTACTTTTGTATACGTTTATTTTTTTTCAATAATATAAAGTTTTTAAAAATGCAGTAGCTTAGATTAGGGCAGTGACAGCGAAGATGGAGAGGAGGCGTTCAGATTTGAGATATAGAAGCAGAACAGATAGAACTTACTGCAGATTAGATATGGAGAGTAAGGGAAAGGCAGAAATCAAGAAAAATACACAGGTTTTTGGCTGGAGAAAACGGGTAAATCTGAGACAGAGAAGACTGAGATGATTGGGGGGGATGGTGCTTGAGAGGCAGGGAATTAAGGATTTTGTTTTAGACAAACTAAATCTGAAAAGCCTATCAGAAATCCAAGTGGAGCTATCAAGGAGGACTAGCCTAGAAGAACACTATTATTTGTGAATCTTGCAAAAGAGCAAGGAGGGAAAGCAAATGATCTTGCTAGAACTCAAAGTTTCAAGAGAAATAACTGCAAGCATTTATAGTTTACCCTCTTGGTACCACCATTACTCTTAAAAGGACTGACCCACTATGTAACTCAAATAAAGATTCCTAACAGAGCCAGTAGGGTTTCCAAAAATTGAGTGATTTGCAACCAAAAGTGTGCATCAGAATAATTCACGGAGCTTTAAAAAAATATACGCATGTCCAAGCCCTACTCCAAACCTACTGATTCTAAAACTCCAGGGGTGGGGCTAGGACATCAATAATTTTTTTAAAGTGGCTCAGGTGACAGTGATGGGCACCCCTGATTAGGTATCACTATTACAATGGTCCAAGGAAGTCCTAAGGAAGAATATACGAATATTCAACATACAATTATAAACAAATATAAATATTCAATATACAAAGGCCCAGGGAAGAAGGTATTGGAAAGTATAAGGTCCATATAATAAAGAAATAGACCACCCTAGGATAAGTCAACCACTAGAAGAATAAGTATGCTCACATGGCTCAGGTAGGCTTATGCATGATTGTAGACCATGGCCATACCTGAGAATGCTAAATTGGATCTTCAAGCGTCAAAAGTCCCTTCCACATGTACTAAAAGGGCCACTAAACTAGCCACAGCATTTTAGAAAGCAATCCTAGTAAAGTGATCCTGGAGGAGCCCTGGTGGTGCAGTGGTTAAGCGCTTGTCTGCTAACCACAAGGTCGGTGGTTCGAACCCACCAGCCACTGCACGGGAGAAAGACATGGCAGTCTGCTTCTGTAAAGATTTATAGCCTTGGAAATTCTATGGGGCAGTTCTACTCTGTCCTATAGGGTTGCTGTGAGTTGGAATCAACTTGACAGCAATGGTTTATCCTGGTAAAATAAAAAATTTTGAATTCAGTAGTCCAAGCTGGTGCTTAACAGATCCTGGCAAAACCGGCCTTCTCTGAAGAATGCCTCCTGGAAACAGCTCAAATCGTCAGCAAGAAAAGCAAGTGTCAGGAGCATATGGGTGCTGTATCCTCCAAGGCAACCCTGTCCAATACAACCTTCTGTGATAATGGAAATGTTCTTTATCTGCATTGCCCATTACTGTAACTACTAGCCACATGTGGCTATTGAGCACTTGAAATACGGCTAAGTATGCCAAAGAACTGAATTTTTAAGTTATATTGTCACAACTGAGTAAAGGCTACTGCACTGGACAGTGTAGCTCCTTTCCATCTTGTCAACAAGTCACTACAAAGTTTAAAACCACGATAAAGGGGGACCCTGCTGTGTCAGAGCTACAAGACACAGCATATCCACCAGCATCTCAGTCACAAAGTGTCCCTCCATAAATACATGAGACAAAAGTCAATGACCGCATTTACTTGTTTAGAACCAAATCTTTACAGAGTTTCAAGGCATGAAAACGCCCAACTAAAAAAGAAATCTAAGAAATTAAGAGAAGGACCAGTATGTGTACACATAGATATTAAGTTTGCCTTTCCTAACATTTAAAAAAGACTCAAATGTTTCATAAATAACTTATGATTAAATAATAATGAAAAATGTTTTGTTTCCATTTTGACTTAAAGTATTTATACCCACAAGAACCATTCTGCTCAGATAAAATACAGCATGTGTCTTCTCTTGCTTTTTCCCTATCACACATACATTCTCCAAGGAAATCTCCATGCATGAAATCTTAAATGAAGATCTCTAAAATTTTAGAGCATTTATACCGTGCTCACACATGAATTATTTCATTTGATTCTCAATATAACGACATATAGCCAAGATGGGTATCAGCCTCATTTCCTCTTACAGATGAGGAAACTAAGGCTCAATGAAGTCAAAGTTCTAGAGCTCTTAAGTGGCCAAGACAGATTTCAAAGGTCATTCATCTGCCTCTGAGTGCTGTGCTCTTAAATATACCACACTGTGAGCATTCAATGCCAAGCATACAATTCCTCAGCAGAGGAGCATCTCAAGACAGGGGTCACATACAACATAGGAGGAAGGTGCATTCTAGAGCTGAGACTTCTCAAGAAGTAATTTTAGGAAGGAAAATATAAAAATAATTCTCAAAATATTTAATGTTTGAAATTGTAAATCACTATTAATGTCAGAACTCTGTTTCTTGCTTTGCTCTCAAATATATCTGCTGCCTCAAATGATTCAGCAAAAAAAGGTGTGTGTATGTGTGTAAACAGATCAACCAATAAAGCAAATAGGGCAAAATGTTAACAACTGGTGAATCTAAGTGCAGGGTTTATGGGATGCTCACTGTACTATTTCTTCCATCTTTTGTGTAAGTTTGAAATTTTTCAATATATGTAGTTAGAGAAGAAAAAAATACCTGCTATCTTTGTCCGTTCTTTCATTGATGAGAGGAATCCATCGACTCGTTACCTAAAATGAAAATTAACAACAGCTAAGACATGATGAGAACCTACTTTGAAAAATATCCTGCCCTTGGACCCCTAAAATTCTAAACTGAGGATCAATTCTGAAAGTGTCCCCATTGAAATTTAACTAAATATGGTGCAAGAAATTAATACATTCATACCTTATCAATAGAATGCTTGTTGTTAACAGCATAAACTATGCAGATGACATTAGCCTAGGAAAAAATTAACAAATCAATGGTATTTTTAAATAATAATAATGTAAACAGTAGCATTTAATTACCAACTAGTTAATATATTTGGGCCAAAGGAAAAATGAAGAACAAAATTTGAAGACAGAAAGAAAACTTTGCTTGACTCTGAGAAGAAAAATTTCCTAAAGATTCACAGCAAAAATACATACCCAAAGTCAGTGATAACAACGAAGAATTGAAAAACTCTTCTTGGTACGTGTAAGAATAAAAATGGTAGACCCATACGATCATTACTGTTTTCCCACCAAAAAGCCTGCAACTGTTGTGCAACTAAAATTCACCTGTGATATTTCTTGATGAAGTTGTTCATCACTCTGTTCTGCTTCTACAAATGACAAAAAAAAAAAAAAAAAAGTATTTTCAGGGGGAAAAAAGTCAACATTTCTTAAACACTTTCATTAAAAACTACTGGTCAATCTTTCATCACCACTCCTATTTAACACTGTGCTGGAAGTCTTAGCTAGAGCAATTTAAGGCAAGATAAAGAAATACAGAGCACCAAACTGGTAATGAAGAAGTAAAACTGTCCCTATTTGCAGATGATATGATACTATATATACTATATATAGAAAACCCAAAAGACTCCATGAGAAAACTACTGGAATTAATAGATTCAGCAGAGTAGCAGGATACAAGATAAACATACAAAAATCTGTTGGATTCCTATACACCAATAAAGAGAACAACAAAAAGGAAATCAGGAAAACAATACTATTTATAATAGCCCCTAAAAAAATAAAATACTTAGCAATAAATCTAACCAGGGATGTAAAAGACCTATAAAAGAAAACTACAAAACACTACTGTAAGAAACCAAAAGAGATCTACATAAATGGAAAAACATCATGCTCATGGATAGGTAGACTCAACATTATGAAAATGACAATTCTACCCAGAGCAATTTACAAATACAATGCCATCCCAATCCAAATCCCAACATTCTTTAAAGAGATGGAAAAAACAATCATTAACTTTATATAGAAAGGGAAGAGGCCCCGGATAAGTAAAGCACTATTGAAGAAGAAGAATAAAGTAGGAGGACTCATACTACCTGACCTCAAAACCTACCATACAGCTACAGTAGTCAAAATGACCTGGTACTGGTACAACGACAGATACATTGACCAATGGAACAGAATTGAGAACCCATCCACCTACGGTCACCTGATCTTCAACAAAGTCCCAAAGTCCATCAAATGGGGAAAAGACGGTCTTTTTAACAAATGGTGCTGGCAAAACTGGATGTCCATCTGTAAAAAAATGAAACGGGACCCATATCTCACACCATACACAAAAACTAATTCAAAATGGACCCAAGACCTAAATATAAAACCAAAAACTATAAAGATCATAGAAGAAAAAATAGGATCAACGCTAGAGACCCTAATACATGGCATTAACAGGATTCAAACCATAAGTAACAACATACAAATTCCAGAAGATAAGCTAGATAACTAGGATTTTCTAAAAGTTAAACACTTACGCTCATCAAAAGACTTCACCAAAAGAGTAAAAAGAGAACCTATAGACAGGGAAAAAATTTTTGGCTATTACAAACCCAACAAAGTTCTAATCTCTAAAATCTACAAGAAAATCCAATGCCTCTACAACAAAAAGACAAATAATCCAATTAAAAAATGGGCAAAGGGAATGAACAGACACTTTACCAAAGAAGACATTCAAGTGGCTAACAGACATATGAGGAAATGCTTGTGATCACTAGCCATTAGAAAAATGCAAATCAAAACCACAATGAGATACCATCTCAACCCGGCATTACTGGCACCAATCAAAAAAACAGAAAATAACGAATGTTGGAGAGGCTGTGGGGAGACTGGAACTCTTATGCACTGGTGGTAGGAATGCAAAATGGTACAACCATTCTGGAAAACGATATGGCGCTTCCTTAAAAAACCTAGAAATACAAATACCATATGATCCAGCAAACCCACTCCTAGGAATACATCCTAAAGAAATAAGAGCCATCACACGAATAGACATATGCACGCCCATGTTCACTGCAGCACTGTTCACAATAGCAAAAAAGATGGAAACAACCTAGATACCCATCAACAGATGAATGGATAAATTTTGGTACATACACACAATGGAGTACTACGCAACAATAAAGAACAATGATAAATCTGTGAAGCATCTCACAACATGGATGAATGTGGAGGGCACTATGCTGAGTGAAATAAGTCAATCACAAAAGGACAAATATTGTATGAGACCTCTACTATAAAAACTCATGAAAAGGTTTACGAACAAAAAGAAACAATCCTTGATGGTTATGACGGAGGGGAGGGGTCGGGATGGAAAAACACTAAATAGACAATAGATAAGTGGTAATTTTGGTGAAGGGTAAGACAGTACACAACACTGGGGAAGCCAGCACATCTTGTTCAGGGTAAGGATTGGAAGCTCCACGGACAAATCTAAACTCCCTTAGGGACCAAATTACTGGGCTGAGGGCTGTTGGGACCATGGACTCAGGGAACATCTAGATCAATTAGCATAACACAGTTTATAAAGAAAAAGTTCTATATTCTACTTTGGTGAGTAGCATCTGGTGTCTTAAAAGTCTGTGAACAGCCATCTAAGATACTCCACTGGTCTTACCCCTTCAAGAGCAAGGGAAAATGAAGAAAACCAAAGACTTAAGGGAAAGATTAGTCCAAAGGACTAATGGACCACAACTATCATGGCCTCCACCAGATGGGGTCCAGTACAACTAGATGGTGCCCAGCTACCACCACTGACTGCTCTGACCGGGATCACAATAGAGGCTCCTGGACAGAGCTGGAGACAGATGTAGAACAAAATTCTAACTCAGAAAAAGACCAGACTTACTGGCCTGACAGAGACCGAAGAAACCCTGAGAGTATGGCCCTCGGACACCCTTTTAGCTCAGTAATGAAATCGCTCTTGAGGTTCACCTTTTAGCCAAAGATCAGACACACCCATAGGACAAAACAAGACTAAAGGGGTACACCAGCCCAGGGGTAAGGACTAGAAGGCAGGAGGGGACAGGAAAGCTGGTAATAGGGAACCCAAGGTTGAGAAGGGAGAATACTGACATGTCATGGGTTGTTAACCAATGTCATAAAACAATATGTTTACTAACTGCTTAATGAGAAACTATTTGTTCTGTAAACCTTTATCTAAAGTACAAAAAACAAAAAACTATGGCAAGCTAAAATCTATGCAACACCTACCTAACATCCCACAAAATGACGAAGTGCAGTGCCTAACTAGATGGCAAAGACAAAGGCAAGCCAGGGAAAGGAAGAAGTTGAACTACAACAGGGAAGCTGGCTGGCAGTGAAAGACAAGTCTACAGGAGGATAACTCAGGCAGGGAAGAGTAGAAGGCATTGTGTGATAAATCTAGACTGTTATCTGATCCAGAGCTGAGAAGAGCCAGGCAGAAGAGATCAGGGACTCAAACTAGGAGACAGGGTGCTGGAGTCCGAAGTCCAGACAAAGAGTTTGGACACACAGGGCCAAAAGGTCAGATAAGAATCTGGGCAATATGAACTTAAAATCTAGATAGCAGATCTGAGTAACAATAACCAGGCCCCAGGAGCAAACCTGGAACATGATAATGAAGAGTAAAGAACTCTCTTTCTAGCACGTCTCTGGCTAGGATGGACGCGCTTGTTCATCCACAGCCGTGGGGAATATGCATGATATAGTTAGAATAAGGAGGCAAAGAAATGAAGGGCAAAGCAATTACTGATAGACTAATTTATTAATTTAGATCACTTTGAGTCAAACATGTCTCCAAAAAGAATGCCTGTCATTTCTGACATACAAACTAATTTCATAAATAAGTTCTATGGTATTTTATATTATGCTAAGTAATTGACCATATTTTTAATATCTTTCCATATGCTGAGTTATCAGTCTAATACTGAGTTTAAATCTAATACTGAAGTGCATCTAATTATGTGGCTACAGGTACTGAATAACTGTAAATGATACTAGTTATGAAACTGATTGTGGCAGAAGGCATCCAACCCCTTCAACTTCTAGTACAGGGCTGTCCAACAGGAATACAATGTGAGCCACATTATGTAATTTTAAATTTTTTAATAGTCATCTTAAAAGGGTAAAAAGAAAACAGGTAAAATTAATTCTTATTTAACCCAGAACGGCAAAAATAATGTAATTTCAATATGTATTCAATATAAAATTGAGGTATTTTACGTTCTTTTTTTCATGTTAAGTCTTCCAGTTGTATTTTACACGTACAGCACATCTCAATTCCGATTAGCCACGTATCAAGTATTCAATAGCCACATGTAGTGGGAAGTGCAGTTCTAGCATTACTCTCTTAGAATATATGGAATACTAGCTTAGGAAAACAAAGTATTACCAATGTATTTACACCCACGTTTTTTAAAGGAGAAATGCCAGGACAAAGTAAAATAATTAAACAAAGAAGCAGAAAATTTTTAAGTTATAAAAAGTAATACAGATGTGCTTCCAGTATTACATAACGGTAAGCAAGCTGACAACTGCTTCAACTATTATTTTATATGGGACACAGACCGACAAAGAACAAATTTAGAACTCAATAAATTCACAAATGCAAAACTCTAAGTAATAACAGCATGCCTGATAACAAAATTGACTAACGAACTTCTCTTCGCAAACATACCAATTTAAGAAGCATAATGACTAATCTAGGAGCCCTGGTGGTACAATGGTTAAAGCGCTCAGCTGCTAACCAAAAGGTGGGTGGTTCAAACCCACCAGCGGCTCCGCAGGAGAAAAGACCTGGAGATGTGTTCCCATAAAGATTACAGCCTAGGAAACCCTATGGGGTAGAGTTCTACTCTGTCACATGGTGTTGCTATGAGTGTACATCGACTCAACGCCAACAGGATGAGTCAGATAACGACTCCATGGCACGCAACAACAAGGACTTACCTACTACTTGTCATTTACTATTCTTCCTTCTTTTTAATTTTTATGGAACCCAACTTAATACTTTGGGGACAGAGAACTGCCAGACAGAGGCTTTGGGTAGGGTGGGGGAGTGGCCAGGAGACATAAATGAGACAAGAATAGTAAATGATCATTTACTGCTAGAGAGAAAGGATCACCTCTCTGAACATTTTGTAAAGCTCAGTACCTTTTCTGAGGACTATTAAATTAAACCCACAGTTTCACCTACAAGAGAAAATTCCTTACCTGAGTAATCTACGATGTGTGTTGGAACTCTCTCAGGGGTAACATCAGCTGGAATGGTGATTTCTTCTGCCCGGGGAGGAACCTTAGTTTGCAAACAAATATAGAACAGGAAAATGCTTTGGATATTATCACACTTGTTAACAGATTATATAAATTTATTTATATTAGCCCCTTTCACCCATACCTATCCTTATAGGTATTTGTTCTACTTTTAAATGCTTATTTTTGTGCTTTACCACAGAAGCAAATGTGCATTAAAACTATATGATAAAAATGTCATTTTTAAAAAAACATGCACATTTCTATGTTTGCAGACAGAGGGCATTCTAAGGATACTTGAAATCTGACACAACCTAAAACACTAGCTGAATTAGTTTGTCGTTTCAAACATTAAATTCTGAAGGCTCAAGACAACTTAAAGATGCATTGTAAATGAGGAGCTATGTTAATCCAAGATCATCCCTAAATGAACCAATAAATTACCAAAATTCATTTCTTCTAGAAGATAATTGGAAACCCTGGTGGCGTGGTGGTTAAGAGCTATGGCTGCTAACCGAAAGGTTGGCAGTTAGAATTCACCAGGGGCTCCTTGGAAAATCTATGGGGCAGTTCTACTCTGTCCTACAGGGTTGCTATGAGTCAGAATCGACTCAGGCAACGGGTTTGGTTTTTTTGGTAGAAGATAATTGGCTACATAAACCTCATACTTAATGATTTTAATTTTTTAGAAAGACTGTATGATTTTTCCATCATATGGAAACTCCTTATCCACACCCAAAAGGACTATGCTAAAACAATTCTAAACTAAGTTAAACTATCACAAAAAACTTTTGTTATACTTAGAATGATTATAAATTAATGTTACTAATGCCACAGACCACACATGAAAATACATTTCATTTCTTAAATTAAGTAATTACTTAATTATCTTACTTAAGAGGAAAAAAAGCAAGAGAAACAGTAAGTGGTTATAAAGTAGTTGTAAATGTTGAAAACACTAACACGATACATCAAATCCCTGTCTGAACAATAAAATTACACAGATATTCCTATCTAAATAAGAGTAAAGAAAGGGTAAATGCAAGCTGTGGCACTAACAATACCTACTGTGTGAATAAAGGGAGTAAACAGAAATTATTTTCATCCTATCTGCATTGATTCCACTCCCCAAACAATATCCTAACTTTACATAAGGCCTTAGCTAGCTGTCCCTGTACTAGAATTTCCAAAATGTAAATGCAGTTGCCAATAATAATAAAGTCACTTTACTTTTGGTGGCACTTAATTACTAAGCTCACCTCGTCTGAAATCCACAACAATCCTCTGAGGTAGGCAAGGCTGGAATGAACTAGCTTCTTCATTTGTACAAATGAGGTAGGTAGATAATACTAATGGTTTTCGAACATGCTTATCAGAATCCTGGTGGTTCTGAGGAAATGCATCAAAGATCTAGGGAGTGTCAGGTGGTGGTAAGTAGGGATTCAGATCTTTCACTCTAATTTCAACTAAAGGAACATTCATCTGTTTTATATATTGGGTTTATGAGAAATATTTTATTTTTAAGAACGGGTTGCACAGCTTACATGACCTCTAAGATCCTGTTTAGCTTCCATTTTACAGATAGACAACTAAGGCACAGAGACAACAAATGTCCTAGCCAAGGTCAAAGGTAGGAAATGCAAAGGACTTAGTTGAACTCTAAGAGCCCTGGTGATGCAGTGGTTAAGCACTCGGCTGCTAACTGAAAGGTCGGTGGTTTGAATCCACCAGTCATTTAGTGGGAGAAATGTAAAGATTACAGCCTTGGCAACCCCATGGGGCAATTCTCTTCTGTCCTATAGGGTCACTATGAGTTGGAATCAACTCGACAGCAAGGGGTTTAGCAGAGGCGGATTAATCAGTAAGCACAGTATGCACCAGCGTACAATAAGCCAAGGTACACATGGGCTTAACTGAATTTACTTGCTAACCCATGGTGAGCAATTTCACAAGGGTTTCACCACATCTTTGGGCCTGTGCATGTGTAACTTGCTTATTGGGTAATAACGGCCCTGGGGTTTAGTTTAACTCAGATCTAATTTAGTTCCTCCTTCTACACTATATTTCAGAGATGTCATGTATCCACTAATACCAGTTTTTTAAAAAAGTCACAACTGTCAGAAAGGAAACACACACAAAAAAGGAGGAATTTATTTCATTTTAATACAATTTTTATAAAATTTTAAATATGAAAAAGAAATCAAATATTTACCTCTTCTGGGAATTCTTCACTGACCAGAGACATAATCAGTGATGTCTTCCCAACTCTAGCTGTGAAAAGAAAAACCATTACTTTAATAAAGTGTTCAGGTTCTACATAAGCGCAAAATCAGCAACCATACAGGAAAGTTTGTTATTTGTTAGCTAAAATCAGAGTACCCAAATTACCAAGATTTAGTATAATACTTAAAAATATCTCATTTGTTTCCTTAGAAAAGTGATGCATACTTATTGTTTGAAAAAAATTACCAAAATACGCAATGTACAATGGAAAACATAAAAATCTCCCACAATATCCTCCATTAACAGAATTATCATACATAAATATATATAATATATTCTCTCAGATTTTTTCTACACTTACAGTAATGTATCATAACAATGTACCACAATGAGATAACAGTATTCATATCATTTTGTAACCCTCCTTTATCACTTAATTACATATTAGGGCAGTATTCCATGTCAACATATAAAAACCTATATATTTTTCTGACAGCTGTATAAGAACCTACTGTATGAAGTATCATACTTTATTTATGTAATCCCCTAATGATGAACATTTGGATTGTTTTCAAGGTTTCACTTTTACAAATACCGCTGCTATTTGTAATATGTGTAATATTTTCTATGGGATAAATTCTGAGAAGTGGAACTCAAGTTAGCATGCGTGATCTTTTTTGGTTTTAATAGACACTGTTAAATTACCTCCAAAATAGAATTAACCAATTTAAATCCTCACCAAGAGAATACCAGAGTGCCTATTTCTCTACATCCTTACATTTTTTCTTTTTACAGAGTATCATATTTAAAGGGTTAATAACAAGGTGAAAGAGTCCTGGGTGATGCAAACGGTTAACCTGTAACCCACTCGGCTGCTATCTAAAAGGCTGGAGAGGCTGGCATCTATCTACCCAGAGGAATCTCAGAAGAAATGCCTAGCAATCTACTTCCAAAAGATCAGTCATCGAAAACTCGGTGGAACACCACAGTTCTACTCTGACACACACAGGGTTTGGATGAGTTGGAATCTACTCAACAGCAACTGGTAACAAGGTAAAAGCAGATACTTTCCTGTTGCATTTTCTATTCTAGTCAGTTTCTAATGCACAAACTTTAAAATCTTAATTCTCATTCTGAAATTTGACTCCTATTCCCATCATTTTCTGATCATATAATTATTATTGTTAGACATTCAACTGCTTATCAACTAAATCCCTTTTGTGATTTTAGAGGAAAGCAGACCACCTGCCTATTAATCTCTGCCATCATAGGCTATGTGGTCATGTCTAATCTCGGCCATGTTAGAAAATCACAGTTTCCAAAACTAAAGTCTAAATACAAAAGAAACTTGGAAAGTTTTTAAAGTTAAGAACAGCTACATTCCCTTTTTAAATGACTAAAAGAAAGGGTGAACTAACAACACAAGAAAAGTCTCTGGAAAAATAATGAATAGCTGAACAAAGGAAGGATAGTATTGGTCAAAACAACTTAGAGGGTGAGCTGTGAACAACTGAGTGCTGCTGATGGAGGGATAGATATGATGGTCTAACAGGTATCTTCTAGCTCTGATTTCTACACAGCTTTTAAATTGACTTGTGTAGAAGGCTTGGGCCTTTTTCAAGGGGCTTACGGTGAGGTAACATTTCAATGAGTTCCGACCACGTCAGTGAATCAAGAGCCATCAGCACAGAACTGCTAGAATCTAGTCAACAATATCCACTTAACCGTCTCCCCAAAAAAATTTTTAGATGAGGAACCTGGAGTTTACAGACAGCGATTTTCTCAAGGTCTCACTAAAAAATAAATTGCAGACCTAAGGGAGTAACCCATCTCCTGATGGTCAAGCCAGTGTTCTTTCCCTTCTGATGCCACACTTTCAAATACTGTAAAAACTACTTAATAATTCAGCAGGAGAATGGTGACCCCTAAAGTCAGCAGAGAGTACATATACAAATACTACATGAGTTAATTAAAATTTTCACGGATTCACTGGTGACTAATTCAGCTCTGGCTCAGTTAGGCTTTTTTTTTTTAATACTTATTTTGAGAAAATTTTAGACTTACAGAAAACTGCAAAATAGTACAAAGAATTCATGTCTATTCTTTGCCCAAATCCCCCAAATGTTAACATTTTACCACATTTGCATTATCACTGTCTGATCATTATCTATCAGTCTGTCTCTCTCTATCTATATAATTTTTTTTCTAAAACATCTGAAAGGTCAGGAAAGTAATACCAATGATGCTATTATTTTATCCACAGACTTTATTCAGATACATTTTACTATTTTCCCCACTATTATCTTTCACAGAAAAAAAATTTTTTTCCCTCTGGTCTAGGATCCAATCCAGGATCAAACACTGTATTTGGCTGTCATGTCTCTTCAATCTCCTTTAATCTGGAAGACTTCCTCTATCTTTTCTGTCTTTCATGATCTTAACATTTTTGAAAAGTACAAGCCATTTAATTTATAGACTATCCTTCAATTAGGTTTGTGTAATGTTGTCTCATGGTTAATGTCAGATTTTGCATTTTTGGCAGAAATACTGCCAAAAGTGATATTGTGTCCTTATTGCAGTATAGCAAATAGCAGGTGATGTTAACTAGTCCCATTACTGGTGATGTTAGCTTTGAACGCTTGGATGAGGTAGTGTCTGCCAGGTTTCTCATGGTAAAGTTATTATTTTTTCCTTTGTAATTAATAAGTATCTTGTGGGAAGGTACTTTGAGACTATACAGTCTACTAGTACCTACTAGTTTCAGCATCCACTGATGAGTCTTACCTGAAACAAGTACTGTTATGGAAGTCACCAAATGGTGATTTTCTACCTCTATCAATTCTTCCACATTATTTCGTTACTGTCCTGTATGGAAAAAATTACCCTTCTGAGATAGATGGATCAGATATCAGATATGTGTGTATATGTGTGTGTGTGCATGTGCGTGTGTATCTAAGTATGAACTCACGGATTCCTGTATTAGTCTATGGGTTATAATGTTACAGTCATTATCTGGATGCTCAAATTGTTTCATTTTACTTTTAAAGATGACATTTATGCCAGTATAAACCAGCATGTACAATCAGATCCCATTTTATAAATAAATATGTATGTGCATAGCAAAAACCTGGAAGGATATATATGCCAGCTGTGGTTATCTCTGAAGTAAAGACAACTGTAATTTTCTTTTTTGTGCTTTTCTGTATTTTCTAAATTTTCTACCAAAAACATATATAATGTTTGCTACTAGAAGAGGCCAATAAGTGCTATTTTAAAAATGATTTTTTTTGTAGTGAAAACTGGCATGTTCTAAATTTGCAAAAGGCAATTGAAGTGTACACATGTCAACAGGTTATCATATTTTTATGCAAATAATGTACATCTATGTGTGTCTGCCAACCGTGCGTGCCCTTCCCCCCATGAAGTATTTTCATAAGTGCTGCTATGCCAATTTTTTTACATGTTGCTGTGTAAAAAAAAATTAGCAGAGCACGCTTATGAAATACCTTGTCAGGGGAGAGTGTAGTTGGCAAACAAACATAGAAGATAGGCATTATCTGCATAAAAACATGGTAAATGTATTCTTTCATCCTTCAACAAATACTTCTTGAGCACTGCTACATGCCAAGCACTCTTGCAGGTGCTGGGGACACCACAGTGATCAAGGCCATTAGATCTTCCCCACTCTTATGGAGAGTACATTCTAACGGAATTATGAAGTTATCACCAATAAAGTGAATACTTTCTACCCATCAGGATAAAAAGCAAAAGTTCAAAAACTGTAGTCATTTTAGATTCACCTCCCCTCCATATTCAGCACTCAAGTTCTGTCAAAATTCTCTTTGAAATTTTTAATATTCTTTCCTCTGTGTTCCCCCTTTCCCTAATTATGGCACTTTTACTGCAACACCTTCCAGTTCCCAACTTTCTACCCTCTTCTCCAGATTCTTCCCTCTTTGATCTACCAAGAATGATACAAAATGCCAGCCTATCTTTCTTACACACTCTTTTCACTTTCTAATGCATCCAATCAAAAGCCTCTTTGACTCCGAGTGACCTACCACATCAAGCTGAAACTATTCTACTGGCCTTTGGAGGCCATACATAATTTAGTACCAGCTCATCTATCTAATCTCATTTCCCACTAATCCCCATATAGTCCCCCAATTTGCTCAAATAACGTCATTCTGCTCTGTATAAGCACAAAAAAGCCATGATGAATCCTGCCACTCTCACATTGTTTTCCTCATCCAAAAGATCCTTTCCTTTCTTCCCTCTACTTGTCCAAACTTTAACCATCTCTCAAGGACAGCTCAAATTCGACCTCAACCCTAAAGACATTCCAGGGCACTGTAGCTCTAAAGTACTTTCCTTCCTCCTTTGAGCTATTCCTGTGTACCATAACTTACATTAAACTGTTATGAGTATGATAGATACTAAAATACTTAATATGTATGAGTCTACATAAACACAATAATCAAACTTTCTAATTTTATATAAATGGGGTGAAGGATCTCTAGGACATCAACCAGACTGAACTATTTGACTTCATTCACCTTGCCCAAGCACAATACTACTGCTACAGCTTCAGCACTGCCATTGGGTAATTGTCCTACCTCATGGCACTTCTAGAACTCTGAAGAGCTATGAATAGTAAGTGACTGCTGAGACAATCAAATAAAAAAAATACATTCCAAAATTACTTTGTTCAATTTGTTTCTACTCAAAAATAATGTTGAAATTTCAAATACTATTAAAGGAGGGCATGAGAGTTTTGTATTTATCAAAAGTGTTATGGCTCAAAAAATGGAGAAACACTGTAACACGCCTTCTATCTAGGACTGCAAGTTCCATCCAGACATATCTGGCCCCCTTCCTGGACCAAACTAAGAACAAAACTAGAAGAACATACAGAGTATTACTTTATGCTTCTACACGACCATCTTTTTTTTGTGTGTGCGGACGCCTACTATAAGTTCATTTGGTAAGTATTTACCTGAATATCGTATAAGTACAAAGTCTTAGATACTGTGTGGAGATAATATGGG